CCTGAACTCGTGAAAATGATGAGCTCTTGCGGCACGCGCTAGAACCACTTTGACACGCCTTCCTTTGCCGCCCAGGAAGGATCCGTTTGTGCTGGGAGGAAGTGGGGACGATGGAGCCGTCCAGACTTCCACGTCGGGGTGGAAGGAGGAGGAGTGAGGCAGGGCCTGCCTGCTACTTGTTTCCACTATCGCCCTCCTGCGCGCGCTTCCTCCACCACGCCCTTCAGGAAGGCAACTTTCACCTCATGGGGAGGGGTTCGATGCCATCGCATGGGAGAGTGAGACCAGCAATGACTCATATGTGGAATGGCAGTGAGTGGATCGTGCGAAAAAATCTTGGGAATGGGATGAATGGCTTGGTCAGATTGACGACATCCACATAGGTTTTTGTGCAAACAAGAGGGCAAAAAATTTAGAAGGGAGGACTTTTTGGAGGGTTTTGTGCAAAAGGTCACCACATGGCAATAGTCAACCTACCACCCGTGAAAGTCAAGGCCGATGTAGCGCAAATAGGACTAACTTGACACCCCTCGAATAGTTTTAGGACTTGTCGTGTATTTTAATCTTCTCCTAATTTAGAACCCTCGGATGTTAGTTGAAAGTGCTAGTTATCGACTAGAGGGGGGGGGGGTGAATAGGTGATTTTTATGAATGTATTCGAGACAGGAAATATCTTCGAAGATGCAGAAGTGAAATACTCCCTCCGTCTCAAAATAAGTGTCTCAACTTTATACTAACTTTAGGACAAGGTTGTACTAAACTTGAGACATTTTGGGACGGGGGGACTAATAACTAAACAGAATACAACGGAAGATAAACTACACTAGTCATGCATGAATGTCAATGAACAATTGAAGTGATGCACGAAGCCAAATAACAGCTAGGTAGAACAGAGTAGATAAGGAAGATAGTGTGAAGACAAAGATGTAATCAGAGGGGATGTCTTCACACAATGTCTTCAAACAGAACACGCATGCAAAGGCTTCACGAAACTAAACAATAAGTTAAGGAGTGAAGGGATAGAACCAGTTGCTCGGTGAAGACAAATGATTTGTTAGACCAGTTTGAATTGATGTGACAACTGTACGTCTGGTTAGGGAGACTAAAATTGAACTCAGAAGACCACGTCTTCACCTTATCCCCCTTGAGCTAAGACCCACAGATCTCACCCAATCACTCAGGTGGGTCTTCAAGGTAGACTTCCAAACCTTCAGAGACTTTGTTCATTGCAATCCATAATGACTCTTAGATGCTCAGAATGCGACGCCTAACCGATTGAAAGATCGCAGTCTTCAAGTGTAACAAGTCTTCAGTTCATGCAGAACAGAAAGGCTTCAGTGATGCTCAATCACTTTTGGGCTCAGGGTGTTTTCGGTTTTGTCCTCGCAAGGATTCTCTCTCAAAGGTTTCAAGGTGGGTTGCTCTCAAACGACAAAAGTTGCGCATTAACTCGGAGCAGCCACCAACTTATGATGGAGGGGGTGGTCTATTTATAGCCAGGAGGCAACCCGACATGATATGTCTGAAATGACCCTGAGTCAGTGGACAACTGGCACGTGCCCAACGGTCGAATTTGAAACACACGCGGAGCTTGACCTGGGCTCCAAGTAAAGCCGACTCAACTAACTCTGGAAGAGGTTTTCTCTCATAGTCTTCGCTTGAAGACATTTGATTTTAGGTTGGGCATCACGTCAGCTTTCTGTCTTTATTTACCTCGACCCCACTTAACAGTTCGGTGGTTTCTATGACTCAGGAAAGAATAAAATGAAACTACCAAAAGACTACGTCTTCGCGCTCCGTTGTCTTCAAGTGAAAGTCTTCGCGTACCATTATCTTCAGCACGAATGTCCTCGCGAACCACCATTATCTTCAATGTCTTCATACATTTTTAGGGGTCATCTTTGATGGGCAAACCGAATCAATAGAGACTTATATCTATCTTCTCCCATGAATCTCACAAACACATTAGTCCCACAACCAAGTTTATTGTCAATACTCCAAAACCAACGAGGGGTGGCACTAGATGCCTTACACCAGTACAAGTTGTACTTGAGTGGTTCATGTCTTAAGGTTGTACCGTGCTCCCAAGTCATAGTAGTAAAGCTACAACATTTCAAAATATAACATGGCTAGATTATCACGATATGAATTTAGTAGAACATGAATTTCATTGTCAAGTTTCATTCATACATCGAGAAACGAAGAAACCTTTTGATTGCAAATATTGACATTAGCAATGGTTTCCCTCACACACATATAACAGTTGGCCGGTCTCTAGGAGAAGCTCTCGACCGTCACCCTGGCCAATGATGTGGAGGACACCATTGTTTGGAAGTTCACAAAGGATAGCATGTATACCACTTTCTTCGCCTACAAGGCGCAATTCGAGGGTCTCATTTTCAAACTTAGTCCATTCGGTGTGGAAGGCATGGGCATTATGGAGTTTTTTTTG